GCTGGTAAGACACGTCATCAAGGGCGAACAGTACGGGGAATATTTTGGCTCCAGTTTGACTGCCTGTGACGTCAATGGTGACGGCAGGGATGATTTGATCGTCGGGTCTCCGTTATGGTCTGGTGACATTGAAGAGGGACGTGTATACGCTTACGTCTCCGAAGGCCAGGTGAGCACAATCAATGTGGTTAAATTTAAAACTGAATTTTAATTACATTGCATTAAAATTATTTATTTTATTATTTCTGATTGAAAGCGATAGGAATTTATCAAGATTTTTTAACAAATAATAATCATCACAATTATAAAAAGTGTAATGAAAAGTCAACACCCACGTTGGATTGAACTAGTTTTGCCCTCGGTTTCTATCATATCACTATATAGTACGTAAAATGACTTGAGTAAGTATTGATTTTTGACCTAAATGATTACAAACCAAGATCGCATTCATTTGAGCTGACATCGTTTCAAAATAGAAAAATAAAGTAGATAATTTCTGATAGAGTAGCCAATGAAATAACGAACGTAGTAAAATTTAAATACTGTGAAAACTCATATCACGTGGCCTCCTGGCGTAAGAGCAAATAGTCCTTTGACAAATACATTACGCGATTTTACCTAACACTTGTATAATTTGAATACTTGCATTCATACAATTGCAGTCGAACTGGAAAAAATATCGTATCAATGGCGAGCGACCATCTGGACGTTTCGGCAGTTCATTGGCTTGCCTGGGTGACCTCGACCACGACGGTTTCCAGGACGTGGCTGTTGGGGCACCCTACGAGGACGATGGACAAGGGGCCGTCTATATATACAGTGGCAGTGGTGATCGCGAACTCTTCCTCAAGCCAAGCCAACGCGTGAACGCCAATAATCTGTTACCTGCACTGACACCCACGTTGCGGGGCTTTGGGTACTCGCTGAGCGAGCCGGCACGTGACGTCGATGGTGATGGCTTCCCTGATCTGGCAGTGGGTGCCTACGTGTCCGGCCACGCGGTCTTCCTGCCCAGCAAGCCCATGGTGAAGGTGGCCGTCAAGCTGCAGCGCTTAGACAACGCCAGCCTTGCCTGGAACTCTACGTACTTTGCCCTTAAAGTTTGTGCACTTTACGACGGAGCCTACGCTCCAGCTACCTTCAGTGCGTATTTTATTTATTAAAAAAAAAAAATAATAATAATAATCAACATTTTTTTCTGAGTACTTTCGCATGGTAGAAGGTGAATCATTATTATTGATTTTACAGAAATATAAGACGATTGCTAGATTATTTTCGTTATTGATCAAAGGGTTACACTTAGGGTCATAGGGTTGCGAATCCCTATGGGTTACATAAGGCTGTGATATTTAGTTTCCCGTTATGTATTATAACAAAGTATTTTACTACATATTATGATGTTGTTCTGTAATTGCATTACGAGTCAACTATTGTTTTTTTTTTTTTTCGTGACCTAACACTATTAGTGTTGCTATTTTTACAGCTCTAAATGTATTTGAAGATAAACTTGGTTGGAATAATAGTTTTGTGCATTAAATAATAATGACTAATCTGTCAATTTCACGAAATTTTGCCACGTCACCAATGTTTCAAGGTGTAACTGTATGTAACTGAATCACGTATATATATATCAATGTTTTAATAGTAGAATGTATTTTTAGAAGCGACGTTAGTCTTAAAAATCGACGAATTTCACGTTCGAGCAGTGGTTTACGAAAACGGACAGATTTTCGCCAAGAGTTACAAAATGTCCTACACCCTGGAAAGAAAGCGACGACAGTGCACGATGGTCAAGATGATGTTGCGAGTAAGTTGAAATTGATACATTCGAGCGTTGCATATTTCAAAAATATCAAGCAAAATTGTACGGGTGAAAAAAAAAAATTCTTCAGGAAAATGTTAAAAACGTAGTGCATCCGATAAAAATCGTCGCAAACCTCGACAACGGCGAGGATCCTTCTTGCTCCAGCTGTCCAATGATTAACCCGACGTCGAAAACTGTCGACAGCATAAACGTAGTTTACGCCCTCGACTGTGGCCTCGATGACGTGTGCAGCTCCGATTTACAAGTGAACGTTACGAGCAGTTTATTGGGCCCCAACAATAGCTACACAATTGGTTCCAAGTCGATCGTCAACGTGACCGTATTCGTTAAAAATACAAAAGAGCCCGCATACCTGGCACAGGCCCGCATTTACATTCCCGAACCAGTTACGTTGGTCAGGACACCTCCGGCCTGCAAAAAGTTACCCCAAGCCAACAAGACTTCAGAAATTATTTGCGATTTTGACAATCCGCTTTACAACAACGTAAGTCCTCGATGCAGGATACCCTTGCGTGTGTCAATTGTTTTGTCGCACGGTGAATAGTTACATAATACGTTATACGCGAATTTAGTGCACCATTTCCTTTTAGGGTGAAATACTCATGGAATTAAATATGAATGCAATTGATGATGCCAACAAATTTAAAATCATCACAGTTTCAGTTACGAGTCAAAGCCAAGAAGTCAACCCTCTTGATAATGTTGCATCATTGAGGATCAATTACGACGTTGATGCGAACCTAAGCGTTTTTGGGTGCGTATAAGCAAAGAGAGTGATCTATTATTTATTTGAATTTCCTAGTTTTTGTTTTATCAATTAGAGTTTGGGTTTGATTTGTTTCTTGAAATGTAAGAATCATCGTCAACTCTTTGTATTTTTCGATAAAATATCTAGTCAACTAGTAAATGATGTTATATAAATCGAGTCAACCTCTTGGATAAGGTAACAAAACTTCAACCATCTCCAGACTACTTCTGATATGAGTTTTTAATATTGAAAATTTTTTCATGAGAGCAGTTGAAAAATTGTCTGATTTATATTAATACTATTAGTCGCAGCACTTACAAACTTCAGGAAAAATGATATCAATAAATGTTGTATAGGAATTAAATTTTTTTTTTTTTAATGTTAAATATCAGTTTTCTTACTAATATAAGATTAACTGAAATCGAACAAAGTTGTAATTTACAAAAAAATCGCGAGAACTGCATAAAAAAAATTGTTATCTAATTAATGAAGTTTTCAAGAGAATTTTTTCTTTTAACAATTTTAAAAAGGCCTAAAAAGTAAAATAAAGTTTTTCAAACTCTCTACTTTCGATGGAAAAATCTTTTTATGCGCTACTTTGCCGCAACACAATTTTCGAGTAAGAAATAAAAAGCTGCAAGTATCGAGCTCCGGGATTTTTGGCGACTACATTATTTTCGTTTAAAAATTTGAGTAAAAACAAAGATTCACATTTAATTAAGCGTATTGCTGAATAAGAACTTATGGCATAAAAAAGTGTCCAAAAACTTGTTTTTTATACATTTATTTATGGCTATAAATCTAATCGTCATATGATAAAGAGTTAATAGTAGATAGAATATTGATACGTATTTTAATTGACGTTTTCGAATACTATTAATTTATGGTGAATCATATACTTAAAAAATATTTAATGAATGATACGATTTTTAGGAAATCACAAGAAAATCACTATTCGTATCTGGAGAGCGACATTGACGAAATGAGTTCGAAGAATTTTACTTTTCATCACATCTACGAAGTACAAAAACTGGGTCTCACTCCGATTCAAAAGACTGAAATTATTTTAAGTGTTCCAGTGCGTTTTCGAAACTCGGAAATTGTTAACGTTAGCTACATCCGTGGCTCCATCGACGGATACAAGTATGGTTGCGTACTTGAAAATTCATCAGCAAAAATTAACGATTTTTCTGTTGAAAAAAATCAATCATTGACATCTCAAGATACGCTCCTTATGAATTGCGGAAATTTCAATGTGACGTGCCAAAAATTTCGTTGCAACGTCGGTCCTTTCCTCGAAACGATGTCTGTAGCTGAATTAATCGTAACAGTAAACTTTCAAATTTCGAATAACATAGGTTTGTTTGACCATATTTTTGTTGAAATAAAAAAATTTTCTTTGCCAAACATTTCCATGATATATCTGTAAGAAACATTTTTTTTTTTCAGTCAAAGATGGATTTCGACGTATATTATACGTGAGCGAATTACACGTCCAATTTATTTCGCCCAATTTAAAAAACGAAGTGCACAATTTCATGCAAATCTCAACAAATATTTACAGCCAAGGTTCCGTAGGAACATCCCTATGGATAATTGTCTCGTCGATTTTTTTAGGGCTGTTTTTATTGATAATTATGAATTTTACGCTCTTCAAACTAGGATTTTTCAATCGGGATACGAGGGAAGATGTACAAACCCTCAAGTCGGCAAGCGGAGTAAGTATGTACATGCCGTATAGGGCATTAAAAAATTTTCCGACAATTATGTATCGTGTAAAAATTGCCATTTTCGATCTATAGACTTTTACGTACTTATCTTTCAAAACGCTTCAGTCGTTTGTAGCACACTTGTTAAAAAAATTTGTGTTTGTATTGGTACGTGTGCTACTGGATCAATTAAAAAAAACTCTGATATTTTTTCGTTATAATTAATCTCACAACTATGATTGAGATGGCGCATCTGCATTGAAAATAGTTAGCTCTTCACAGCAAAAAAATTCACTACTTATTAATGTACATTTTAACTTAGTAACATACACTGGTATTGTGCTNTTTTTTTTTTTTTTTTTTTTTTTTTTTTTTTTTTTTTTTTTTTTTTTTTCAATCATATTACTTTTGTTAGAAAAGTTTAGGTGCGATATTTTGTGCTCTGTGATTACAGATTTGTCAACATGCATAGCGTTTGAAGCAACAAATTTTAGTCAAGATTTTTTGTACATTTTTTTACTTGCTACAAATTTTACGAATGGAAAAACAATTTTATATTTCAATCTAATAGGCCGTGATTGTCAAAAAAAAAGAAAAAAAAATACGCACTCGGTGAATAGCATTATTTGGGCAAATCTAGACTTAGTAAAATGTTAATACATGAGCATGAATTAATAATCAAATTATTTTTATAATCAAAAAATGTACAGATGACGTACTATTAAATCCCACAAATTATTAGAAGTATCCAAAATCCTTTCCATTTGTTAATTGTTTACTGAATAAGTTAAGCATGAATTAGGGAAATTAAAATTTGAGCCAAACGAAATTTATTAAGAAAAAACCATAAACCAATTGAAGTATATGACTTATTTTAGTTGCTTACATTCAAAATATTTTTGTTTAATTAAGGTAAGAGTTGTAAACATGATTTCGCTAAACCAAGATTTGTTTGGCTTTCAGTGACTCCTAATCTAAGAGACAGAGCTAAGAAGGCACATACCATCGTCACCTACATATGGAAGATTTCGGTATGAATATTAATAGTTGATAATCACAGTAGAATTAGTAAGACGTACTAGCGATATGAAATCCACGGTTAGTAGTTTTGAAATACCTCCCATTATCCTCCAAAAAATAAAACCAGGAATATGACTACATTAAGAGTACATGGCTAATCTTTTTTTCTTGAGAATCTCTTAAAAGTGATGTAACTCTAGTGAAAGATCATAGCCAAATTAAAGTTAATTACATTGACCAGGATATAATGTTTGGATCATATTTTAACATCTTCCACGATAGCACCATTAAATTAGGTAGTATGAAACATAGCTTGGTAGAACGAAATACCAATCACTCACAGTTATTTGTATAAATAAACACAAACCCCACATCCACTTTTAGAAAAAACAAGATGACTACAGCAGAGTAAAAAATTCGATTTTACAAGTGGTAGATGGAATTTTCAAACATGTCTAACTAACCGTGATGAGATTTCTATTGACTGATTGGCGAAGTGGGTAACTGTATAAATCAAAAGGCAGCAAACATAAATAGTTTATAGTTAGGTAAGTAATATTTAAACCAATGTAGAGAGCAATTTAAAAATAAAATAATTGAGTAAAAACTAATCTAAGTAAAAAATTGGCGTGATAATTTTTTCAGAGGAATATTATTGGGATCGAAAAATGAGAATTCCAACCGTGTTTAAAAACGGAGAACCATTTTTGAATTTGTTTCTACATAACACTAGGGAAATGCCAAATATGGGTTACTTTGAAAAATGGATTTAAGAAATTGTACTTAGTAAGATTGTATCTGTAACATTGGAAAACTGCCATAAAATTGATGGTAAAAATTAATGGTATTATCAAAGAATGTAGTTCTATCAACTTTGTTGATAAAAAATTTGTCTGTTACAGCAGCTACGATAATTTTATCATCACTCTCTTTTCAATGGAATATTTTTTACAAATATAAACTGGAAGTTTTTTAGTGTATTAATTCTCAGTGAATATATAGCCGATTCTTAAATCAGTTTTAATGGCTTGACAATGTACGTGATATACGTGAGCAGGACATTTGCAATAATAAATGTTTCGAAATACTAATAAAGTAATTATTGTTGTTCCCAAATTAACGTATCTAAATTCAACTGGGGCCTCAGAATGTAATTTATCTTGTGACGTCAATGTATGTTAATTGACGTCAGGGCATTACTATAATTTTTTTTGTTATCAAATCTTAGGGAGCAATGTGCTTGACACATTTAATGGTGATTAACCCTTACGTTTAACGATCGTCAGTCAGTAAAAAAAACTAAGGTTTCGTAACTATCTAACTGTCAAGTAGTTCTCTTGTCATGAAAGCGTAAATGTTGACTTTTTTAATTGTCAGTTGGACAACTGTCTCACTAAAGACATGCCAAACAATAACGTTAAAATTATCAATGAAAATGGAATACAAAAGATCTTGTACACACGACAAAACTCAATTGCATAACAAAATCTTGTTCTTATGTATCTCGTTCATTATGCGAAAAAGTTATTTAAACTTTATGTGTATATTAGTCGACTCACATTTTCTTAACAAAATCACAGTCTTACATTAATGTACCAAAACTGTTTATAAAAATAGATTTTTTATTTCTTTTTTGTATACTACATTAAGCAATGTTTTCTGAAAATTCTTTTCAAGTATTGCATCACAGTTATCTGATGTTATTTTAAATTTCTTCTAGTTTCTAGTAAAAAATAGTATTAATTTTGTTAAATAGCTAGTAAATAAGGACATTCAAACGAATGTCTTATTCAGATTTGTTTCATAGTTAACGAGAGTCGTGAAGTTAATTATGTTCACTTGGTACAATATATACAATATAACTGGTTCAAAAACTGAGACAATAATACTATTAATCTTAAGATAATATTTCAAGCTCAAGATGGTAATGAAGCATTGCACGAAAGTAAGTTTGAGGTTCAAAAAAAAAAAAAAAAAAAATTATCAAGTAAGGCAAGTTTTATTGTAAGTAAAGATGAAATAAGCACTTTTTTAGATGTAAAATAAGGTTTAAAAACAATTATAAATATTATTTTTTGTACGTTAATAGTGCCAAGCTTCTGTATTAATGTGCGCATTAATATTTTTCATAACTAGCAATTTTTAGATGAGATGAAATTAGTTTAACTTTTGCATAATCTAGAGAAATTATACCTTACATATGTGAAGTTTGTAGACTGTATTTTGCAACAATTGCTCAGACTCAAGACTAAGGTCGTTTTATTTACTATCCTAAATCAAATAAATTATTTTGATTGTGATTTGTGAGTGAGTAAATGGTTAGTACATTAAATAGCCTAAAAAAAAAAAAANATCGAACAAAGTTGTAATTTACAAAAAAATCGCGAGAACTGCATAAAAAAAATTGTTATCTAATTAATGAAGTTTTCAAGAGAATTTTTTCTTTTAACAATTTTAAAAAGGCCTAAAAAGTAAAATAAAGTTTTTCAAACTCTCTACTTTCGATGGAAAAATCTTTTTATGCGCTACTTTGCCGCAACACAATTTTCGAGTAAGAAATAAAAAGCTGCAAGTATCGAGCTCCGGGATTTTTGGCGACTACATTATTTTCGTTTAAAAATTTGAGTAAAAACAAAGATTCACATTTAATTAAGCGTATTGCTGAATAAGAACTTATGGCATAAAAAAGTGTCCAAAAACTTGTTTTTTATACATTTATTTATGGCTATAAATCTAATCGTCATATGATAAAGAGTTAATAGTAGATAGAATATTGATACGTATTTTAATTGACGTTTTCGAATACTATTAATTTATGGTGAATCATATACTTAAAAAATATTTAATGAATGATACGATTTTTAGGAAATCACAAGAAAATCACTATTCGTATCTGGAGAGCGACATTGACGAAATGAGTTCGAAGAATTTTACTTTTCATCACATCTACGAAGTACAAAAACTGGGTCTCACTCCGATTCAAAAGACTGAAATTATTTTAAGTGTTCCAGTGCGTTTTCGAAACTCGGAAATTGTTAACGTTAGCTACATCCGTGGCTCCATCGACGGATACAAGTATGGTTGCGTACTTGAAAATTCATCAGCAAAAATTAACGATTTTTCTGTTGAAAAAAATCAATCATTGACATCTCAAGATACGCTCCTTATGAATTGCGGAAATTTCAATGTGACGTGCCAAAAATTTCGTTGCAACGTCGGTCCTTTCCTCGAAACGATGTCTGTAGCTGAATTAATCGTAACAGTAAACTTTCAAATTTCGAATAACATAGGTTTGTTTGACCATATTTTTGTTGAAATAAAAAAATTTTCTTTGCCAAACATTTCCATGATATATCTGTAAGAAACATTTTTTTTTTTCAGTCAAAGATGGATTTCGACGTATATTATACGTGAGCGAATTACACGTCCAATTTATTTCGCCCAATTTAAAAAACGAAGTGCACAATTTCATGCAAATCTCAACAAATATTTACAGCCAAGGTTCCGTAGGAACATCCCTATGGATAATTGTCTCGTCGATTTTTTTAGGGCTGTTTTTATTGATAATTATGAATTTTACGCTCTTCAAACTAGGATTTTTCAATCGGGATACGAGGGAAGATGTACAAACCCTCAAGTCGGCAAGCGGAGTAAGTATGTACATGCCGTATAGGGCATTAAAAAATTTTCCGACAATTATGTATCGTGTAAAAATTGCCATTTTCGATCTATAGACTTTTACGTACTTATCTTTCAAAACGCTTCAGTCGTTTGTAGCACACTTGTTAAAAAAATTTGTGTTTGTATTGGTACGTGTGCTACTGGATCAATTAAAAAAAACTCTGATATTTTTTCGTTATAATTAATCTCACAACTATGATTGAGATGGCGCATCTGCATTGAAAATAGTTAGCTCTTCACAGCAAAAAAATTCACTACTTATTAATGTACATTTTAACTTAGTAACATACACTGGTATTGTGCTGAAAAAAAAGATTACTATTTTTGTAGAATAGTTTATAACTTATTTGTATCAACAGGAAAATCAAAAAAATGGCGAGGCAATGGGGGAGCTTGACTTTGTCACACCAAGAGCGTAAGAAAATAAAGAAAAACATTCTGCAACATATAACTCTATAGTGTGGATGCTACAGAAGATTCAGTTGGTTCTACAAAATTGTGTTAGAAAACATGTGTTATGCTGTATCACAAAATCACAGCATGAGTTTCAGCCAACTTTGTGGTATGATTAATGTTGTCTAACTTAAAAAAAAAAAAATTAATTCCGACGAAAATCAAAATTATTTACGATGATCACTAAAATACTCATAAGTGAAACTTAGTTTTTTGTCAGGTTTTTAAATGAACGAATATTAAAACTGATTTCGCGTTATGTGTTGACGTAAATAAAATTTTTATACATCATAAAATAATTTCGTAACAACAGTTAACTCAAGAAGTTTATGTAAGTTATCGTTACATATAATTACGTACTATATAAGTCTATTAAAATGTTTGTTCATTTTTTATTTTACTTAAACATATTTATACCATAATACTTACATCGATATTGGAAATTTTTTCACATTTAAATCAAAACTTGGTTTTTGTAACGCTCTTATTTATTTTTTTCAATTTGTACATTATTTTACATCATATTTACAATTAATCAAACATTCCATTTTTCTCTTTTTTCTTTATCTTAGTTATTGTGAATCTTAAAAATAAAAAAAACCGAAAACACTTTTTATGTTTAAAAAAAGTAATACTTGATATTTGAATAATATTCACTGTTGTATGCACTTTTTTGTCTACGATAGTCTGAATCAACTCTTAAAGATAGCAGTCAAAAAATATGTATATTGAAAGTATTTACAATAAATTGAATAGTAAACAATATCACTGTTTTATAAAACAGTACTATACATACGTCTATTTATGTACAAGTTTGTATAAAATACAAACATATTTCTTTTAACAACAAAAAACTCACTAGTAGGTTGTCAAAAGGCGTGCTTTTTGCAAGGTTGTAAGAAAATTAAAGAATTGAAAATAATTTCATATCTGTTACTTACTTCCGCTCCAAGTATTATACCTACATTTTTTTAAATAATAGAATTTCAGTATTCTAGGACAGTAACATAAAAAGTTTACAAGATTAACTACATGAAAAATGTTGCGGAAATAGAACATGAACATGAATTTTTAGCAAGTTTTTTTTTTATAACTATCATCAAATGTATAACAATTTCGCATGCATCTTCTTGAATTTAAAATGAATAATTAAACATTGTTAAAGCACTGCTGGTTTATAAGTAGTTAGACTTTTTTTTATTACTGTCCAGTCTTCCATAATTTCATTTTCTTTTAACATGTACACGATATATGGTCCAGAAACTGTAACTGCTTTTCTTCTTTGAGATCTGTTTTTTCTTTTACGCCCATTATTGTACGACCACATATCATCATGAATGTTGCTGCTGTTTCTATCTTCTTCAAGCTTACGAATTTTTTCTTGCAATTCTTCATACATTTCATCGTATAAAAGTCTTTTTTCACTTTGCAAATTTTGTGCAGCAGCCAACTCCTCAGATTCAAATAAATTATTTACATTTTGTAATCGAAATCGTTTTAAAACTTCAGCTACTTGCTCCTTTGTTTGCATTATTTCTTTTAATTTTTGCACTTGCTTTAAATACTCTTTGCATTCTTCCCTATTCAACTCAGCTAAATTTCTATCTACTTGAGTTATTTTTTCAAAATATATCCTGAAAACGTACATCAAACTTACAAATCATTAAATATTATTGTGAGATAGCTTGCATAGTATCATTATGTATTAGGAAGGTACATGCAATTAAAAAAAAAACTTTTATTTTACTGTTATTTGGTAATATTTAAATTCTTAAAAAATTGTCAATGTACAATATATTCAATAAATTTAAACTTCAAGTATTAAAATCATTTCAGATATATTTTAGGAAGAAGATTATTCTCAACTACCCTAACTTTTACAATCATCACAAAAAAATGAAAGTTTAAGTTCCATTTGAAATGATTTGGAACCATAACATGCAACAAAAAGTGGTAAAGCCAGAATAATTTTTACACGTACCTGTCTCGTAATAGACGAAACTGTTCTTCTATATCCTCTAAATTCATTACACACTCACGCCTTCGTTTATGACATTCTTCTTCATCCATTTCAGAGGACTCATCACTATCACTATGTTCTTCGCTGCTTTCAGAGGCTGACGAAGAATTTGACTCATTACTGACATGAGACATTTCGTCTCCTTCAGCTTCAGATTCATCTTTAACACTAGGCATCTGCAATAACGAATAAGCATTATTAAGCAGTAGATTACTCAAATATTCCTTAAATTTTCAGTCAACAAATGTATGTTCATTATCCGTTAACTATCTTATTACATTAACTATGATTCTGCATTTGGTGTTTAACTGTGTAAAGATATCATAACCTCAAAATATTTTTCTGAGCGTTATTCACGGCTTTAAACATATTAACATACCAGTCGTTTATAATTTGGTAAGATCTTAGTTAAGTGTAATGAGAGGATACGTTTTTATTTGTTCAATTTTTAATACTATTGTAAACGAAACAACACTAAATATGCGCCCTTGCCGCCAAAATGTTGAGAGATTATTTTAGCAACATACGTTAATTGTCGCCATTACTAAATCCTCGTCAAGCTGATAGTTATTACAGATTGATCATATATCACAGCTAGTCAATTTTATTTGATCACCAAACTTAAAAAATATTGAATTCTTTTCCAAATAGTTTGTTTTTTACAGTTTTGCACCAAATATCACACAAGTACACAAGTATAACCTCAAACCTCTGTTTATATGACTGAACGTAACAGCTAGTTACGTTTGCAACTCGAATCTCGATCTGTACGATTACTCGAATATCGATACTCACCGGCAAAATTTTAAATTGATGCAGATGAAAATCGAAGGAGCTTTTCAGCTAAGAAAAGGTTTTATGAGTACTTATTTAATACCTCCGACAGCTCTAATTTAAGATTAATTATATTTAAAATTTTATAATCTCTTTCATAATCACTATTTTCTTATGTTTTTTAAAAAAAAGGTGGGCTACTTACATCTCCAATTTTCAACATTTCATAGCTCCTTTAGTACAAAAAATAGAAACCACTGAACAACCAATTTTTCTTTAATTAATATTTACTTACCTGTGTACCAGTTAAATGATTTTAATCGGCAATACCTTAGCATGATGCTTAGAACGGGTACTTATGTCTAATCCTGTACATCATCTACCTAATTCTTTGTTTTTTCTTTATCCCTCCGTATATTTAGGCAACCAAATATGTATGAGGGCAACAACACGGGTGACATCTGATGATGGAAGAATATTTCTTTTATACATTTTATTTACAGGGCTACAGTTCTTTAATGTTCATAATATGTACTACGTGAGTACATACATGTATGTCCATTCATGTACAAGGTTACATGTTACACAGCCTAATAACATTTACTTTAGCTTTATCATCTGGGGGGCGAGGGGATTTTTACTAACGTAAAAATACAGTTTTTTTGTCGAGAAAAATTAAAAACATAGTTGGAACAAAAATCCAACTCTACCACAAAATAACTCGATGACCCTGGATAGAAGTCGAAAAAGATTTAAGTAGTCATAGTAAGTTAATATAGATATTTAAGTAAATAAATTTTGTCATTTCGTCTGTAAGAATATTTTATCTACCTATTGACTCTCAGTTTTTCGTTTACATCCACTTTATATTAAGATATCCTCTAACTTCTAGTAATAAATAGAGGTGTTCCATAAGAGCGATTTAACAAAATCACGACTATAAAGAGATTTTTTTAAAATTTACCTTAATAATCGATGCTAAAATGGTTGCGTGATTGAAGCGTTTTTATTCATGTGACGATGTAGCGTTTACACTAAAAATTGTCTAAAAAAAAAAAAAGATTTGCGTAATTGGTGGCAACATAAATGTTGCAAAAGGGTAAGATTTAGAGTGCGTATGTAAATATTTAAAAATTTTTTAAAATGAATTAAAATGTGTTCCCCCCTTGCAGTGCGGAATGCTTATTAAATAATATACGTGAATATTAAAGTAAATTAATTAAGCTAGATCGCGCGAAGCGCATTCTATATCACTAGTAGGAAAAAAAATCATGCTTGAATTTCCAGTAAAGTGCAGATCCTTAAAAAATACTATTAAATACTTGCTAACTTTAATGCTACCGTTTTAAATTATTCCATGAATTTTAATTTCTCATTTAGAAATTGTTACAATATAAAAACATTGAAATAAACCCAGCACAACGAGATTTGAGAATTATAAATAGCACTGTTTGTCTATAAAAGTTGTAGAAAACTATATATATAGATACTTACACACGCCTCGGCAACCAGTTGATGAGCGTAGTCTGCCCACCCGCTGTTAATATAATATGGTGGTAATAATCATTTCATGATAGAAACTTTTATTTAATAAATTAAAACAGTTTATTACTGATAAAGTAAGCGCAATTTTACTTGGCACATTGTAAAAAAATAGTTGCTTACGAGATCGATCACTTTACAGAAGTTTTATTGCGAAACTTATACATTATTTTATGTTTCATCAAAAACGAAAGACTTTTTTGTATAGACTAAAAAGACAGATATTAATCAATACATGATCGATGAAACACATTGAACTTAAGTTAATATAAGTGAACTTTTAAACAATCTGCTAGTATTGAATAAGTTAAAAAACATGCAATTGATTGACTACATATGATGCTTTTTTTTAGTAAGCATGTCAAAAAACGAGTAAAACTCCATGAAAAAGATTTTAAAAATACTGGTGACCACTTAATAACTTAATTTTATTATTTTAAAAGAACTAAATTATTTTTGTACTTAATATATATAGAAAAAAAAAAAAAACTGGACAGTTATGGTTACTTATCAATAATACACACACAAAATTATGCAATAAATTTAATTTTTATTTACAAATATAGATTTAATACATTATCCAACTCAAGTACATAATTACAGTATTTTTTATTATTAACAATTCGTTTCGCACTCCAAGACATACATTTTGTAGCTTTAAGATATCAGTAGTAAAAATTTTAAGTGTGGGTACATTATCAAAAAAATGTGTGTAGTTGATACTTTCACTAACGAAGATTTTAGGTATAACAATTCATAGTGAAATATTTGAAGTATTAATTTTGAGCGGATAGGGGATTTCATTTTGTATTACTTACGTAAATGGATTTAGATTAAAAGGAAACAAATAAGAGAAAGGGGGTACTTATGTCACAATTAGTAGATTTGACATCTTTGATTAAAAAAAAAAAAAATTTATTATTTAAAAATCTTTAGTAACTACTTTTAAGTATGTTAGCAGATTATAATATATAAGACACGTTATAATTCGTAGTAAAATAATGACTTATAATAAAAACTGTATAATAAAGAGCGTATTGCTTGTAAAGAAAATTTATGTCATTTTTTTACATTAACATTTTACAATATACCTAACGACGACGAACATAAAATTTAACGTTCATAAGCATTGGTTATTGCAGTAACTGGTAGATCGTATGGTTGTACATTTTTTGTGACGTTTAATATAGTACAATAGTTATTAAAATAGTTTTAATAAATATTAAAATAGAATCACAACATAAAATTTAATTTAAAGGAATTCCTTATTTGGAACTTAGAATTATTTTCAATACTATTGATATGAATAACCAAAACTATGGTAATAAATTCTATACAACTAGCTTGAGACTGATTTATAACAACCCGCTATGCAAGCAGTAACGTATGAGTTACGGTTTAGGCGAGGTGTAAAATTGAGTATTCACCCCGGTCAGAAGTCATGGATGCTCAGAATACTCATTGACTTAGATGAAAGTGTTACTATATTGTAGTTTGCGTGTGCGTACTTCTACCGCACTTATCTATACATATATTTTCGGTTTAATGTATCAGTCATCTAATCCCTATTGTTTTATTCGATTAAATTTTGGCGTGCTATTTTTAAGATATTTACACATTTCTTGAAATAGCATATTATTTAAAACTCTATGATTGGCTGGATATTAACTTACTTAATATTGGAGAGATTATGTAATAAAAAATATTTCTGCTAATACATTTGCAGCAAATTTTTTTAACCCGGTTTTTCTGCATTACTTTCTTTTACTTTATTTTTTATGATCTTTAAAAGTACTTCAGCAAGTTTTTTTTCTTTTCTTTTTGGAAGAGAATAGAGTTAAGGATACACACAAATGTATAATTATGATAGCGCAAAAAATATAAAAACAAGCGGAGGACGATCGTAAACGGAAGATAGTACTAGTAACCTATCAACGCGACAAGAGCGCGAACGTTGGAAGTAAGTTCAGATCGATAATAAAATAGTCAATAAATAGATTAACCTCATATATAGGGATGATCGCTTATCAAATAGGAGATACTAAACATGAAGGCAACTATTTGTATGGAAGGGTTAAATACACGATTCAACTACTACCATTTGATGAGTAGCAACTGTACCCCGTCAAGGGACGATTTTCTAAGCCCTGAAAGTTATTTAGTTTTATAATCTGGTAGAATTTTAAATATAAATTCTCAATGCAATTATATACATTTGAAAATAATAAACTTTGTGGATTTATGTTTTTATTCATAATAATTTCATAAATACGAAAATTTAATTAAACATTATTGGTGTGCTATTTTAGCACCTGCATGATGATGTATATATCTTGAAGAGGCCATCAGTACAATGGATAAATATTGATCAACTGAGTACCATATAATAAACCAATTTTGCTTCAATTGCCTAGTATAATGGTCTAACTTATATTATTGAGTATGTACTCACAAAATCGCGTTAAATTAATAAGTAAACGTTTTTATTAGTCAATTTGCTAAAACTTCATCAATAATTGATATCAAGCAGTGCAATTTAAAGACGAATTAATGATTTATACGAACTAATCGTTTTTAAGTAGAACTGCTAAAACTTTACAAGGAACACAATAAATTTTTTATGACCGTTCTTCACAAGGATTTAGTCTTGTAGCCTGGTAAGTTTGTTTTTCACACACTCGAACTTTTTTTTTGAGTGAATTTGCTAAGACTTCAACAATAATTCTCATGATAAAATAAAAATTAACTTTTAAATATCAATAATAGGTCAAGATGAAAAAATATGTGGGTGAGTATTGATGATAAACTCTCTTTCAAGACATTTTACTAATTTATGTTGGTTTTAATATTTTTTATGATAAACCTC